ATGGGTAGAAAAAATGGCGGTATCAAATGAATGGCTCAGATTACTTTAATTTTTATTTTTTCAAATAATTAGATTAAATGAATAGCTAAGATTACTCCAATTTTAATTTTTTTTATAGAGTTTTTCCTAAATACCCACATGGTGTTATTGAATCTGTTAATAATTTTAATTTCTCCGTTAGTTCTCCGTTTAGGCCACTCGCAGAATTTTAATTTCACTGTTATCTGGCCTTTAAAATTTTTTGCCTCCCCTACGATTCCTCCTCTCCTGCGAGCAAGAGCCAACGACGACGACGGAGACTCCTCCTGCTCTGCCACAGCCGCCAACGAGGGCTCCGCCTCCCTTGCGCCTCCGGTCACTTCCAAATTCGAGGTATGTGTTTGAATTTCTTGTTGGATATTTGTGTGTCTCAATTTCTGCTCTTCACCATCTTTCGAGGCAACAATCCAAACCTCATCTTTTAGGTTATATTCGGTTTAATCAATTAGGTTTACTTACCCTTCGTAATGGTCTTGGGTTTTCCATTTAGATTCAATTTTGTCAATGGTCATCTTTTTTACTTGAAGTTAGTTCAGTATTTTAACTAGAGTAGAATATATGTTAACTTGGAATGAGTTTTTCAGTGAAACAAGATTCAACTTTGTATATCTTGAGTTGGAACAAGCTTAAGGAATCTCCATTGCTAGAGGAAGTTGTTAAATTTTTTTTTTTTGGACTTCCATATATTTCCTGTAATAATTAATATACTTGACTTTTTCTGGTGGGAATACTAATTCTGTAGGTACTATGATCTTAAGTTTGGCACTGAAGGTCTGAATCCGTGAAGGGATCTATGTATTGAGGTAATCTTTTTTACCTATACAAATTCAGTGATTTCTTGTTGAAGTTAGTTCAGAATTTTAACTAGAGTAGGATATGATAGAATAGAATGAGTAGAATTGAACAAATAAAGATTAGGGAATACAATAGAATTGAACTATCCTTTGAGTAAGCCGTACAAGAGCAATTGTTGAGGCAAACTTGCTCACATTCTTGAAGGTTCATACTGCTATTGAACCATGAAAATTGAGTATCTGGCAATTTAATACCAGAGTACTTCACGAATCCATCCGAGGATGTATTTTGACATTTTAGGGGTGTCCTCTGAACACACCCTCCAGAAAAATCTGTCCTGCCCCATGCTCCTGGATGTCTAGGCGATAATTTATCCAAGCAAATCTTCTGGTTTGATTGTAATTTTAGTGGACATGGGTTATGATTGCATATGCAGAATCGGATGGTAATTGCCACAATATTTGGTAATTATAGTTAATATAATTATTGAAACTGAGAAATATAAGATTTCTTCCCTAGAAAAATTTGTGACAATTTTATTAAATTATAATTAATAAAATATGAAATATAATTAAAGAAATGAAAGTATAAAATTAATGAAACATGAATATTTATAATTTTTTCTAAAAATATACATACACTTATGCACTATAATAATCATACAATATTTAAATGCTAATTTTTAAATTTCTAAATGTAATTTTTTAATTATAATTATATCAATATAAATTATAATTAATGAAATTATATTATAGAATTTTTCTATATACATATTAATAAACATTATGTGTATATACAATGTATTATACAATCATATAAGAAAATGCGTTCGATATATATATATATATATATATATATATATATATATGTTTTTCTATTGATTTCTAAGTACAATTCTCTTAGTTAGTATTCATATATTTAGAATTAGGGAAAATGGCACTTTTTCCCCCTAAATTATATACTTATAGCCATTTTTCCCCCTCAATTATTTAGGTAAGCACATTAGCCCCCTCAATTTTTCTAAAAGTGGTGATTCCCCCCCCCCCCCCCCCCCCGATATATTAAATTAACATTTCTACCCTTAAAGTAAACATTTTATTTATTTTACTTCTCCAACAAATTATCGCGTATACGTAGGGATGACCACGGTTCAGATCAAACTAAACCGGACACTATAGCAATTGAATTAAAAGTTTCCGGTTATGATTCAGATCTAGAACCTAATATTGGATTTCAATTTATTAAAATTATGAATAAAAAAATTGGATCTTGAACCGTGAATCGGCGGTTCTGGATCCGGTTCGCAATTTTGAACCGTCTTTATTTTAAAATTTTATTTTTTATTTTAAATAGTCTAAATTCAACAATAAATATATTTTATTTTTTCAGTTCGGTACATGAATCGTCCGTTCCGGTTCGCGATTTTAATAAACTCTAAATATCGAGTTTCAATTCTAAATTGTAATTGGAATATTTCAGTTTGGTTGCTATAGTGTTTGTTTGGTTTGAACCAAATTATTGTCATAATTTGTTGGAGAAGGAAAATAAATGAAATATTTATTTTAAATATTTATTTTAAGGGTAAATATGTCCATTTAACATTTCAGGGGGAAAAACAGCCACTTGAATAATTCAGGGGGAGAAAGTGCTATAAGTATATAACTTAGGGGGAAGAAGTGTCATTTTCCCTTAGAATTATAATATATATGAAATACAATTAGGAATAAATCATCTTAATTATGTGTACAATATCATTTCTGTTTATAATAATTAAAGAAAAAATAAATATGTGAACCAATGATTTCAAAATGAGATTAATATACAGTTTCAAATAAATATAACATGATTAGACGATTTACTTTACTTAGTTTTAATCTTCTTAATGAAATGACTTTTCTTTATTCGTTTTTTGATGGAATACTAAGGGAGTGTTTGGATTGTTGGTAAATCTATAGTATAATTAAGGAATAAGGTTCAAATTGGCCACTGAACGTAACCTGAAAATGCAATTAGGCCACCGAACGAAAAAAAGTGCAATTAGGCCATTGAACACTCAAAAAATGTGCAATTAGGCCACTGAACTCTCCAAACGTATGCAATTTTACCGGATAGCAGGTTACCATCAATTTTAGCAGGTTACCTGCTTACGTGGCAGCTTAGTTGGCATTTTTAATAATTTTTAAATAATTTTTAATAATTAATTTTAATAATAAATTTTATAAAAAATTGGAAAAAATTAAATAAAAAATAAAATAAAGTCGTTTTTATTTTTAAAAAAAATTTTTTAATAAAAATTTATTATTAAAATTTATTAAAAATTAATTAAAATTTATTAAAAATGCCAACTCAGCTGCCACGTAAGCAGATAACCTGCTAAAATTGAGGGTAACCTGCTATCAGGTGAAATTGTACATTTTTAGAGTGTTCAGTGGCCTAATTGCACTTTTTTTTCGTTCAGTGGCCTAATTGCATTTTCATTATTCATTATCAATAAATTAAATAAGAAAATAATTGTATTAGTTATATTGTCTTTATTTTTCTACAATATAAAAATTCTTTATATTCAAATTTATTAATTGATTATATTCGCTACATTGTCCATACAATGTCTTAATTCAGTGAAAAAAAATTATTCATTATCAATAAATTAATTAAGAGAAATATTTTCATTAGTTATATTGTCTTTATTTTTCTCAAATGTAAAAATTTTTACATTCAAATTCATCAATTGATTATATTCATTACATTGTCTATTATCTTTTTTGTGCACTATTTTTCTAATTAAATATCAAAGTTATAATACAAAATAATGCTATATATTTATTTACCAAGTATTTTATTAATACCATGAAAAAATTAAAAAAAATATAATTAATAAAGCCAATCATATTAACTACTTTAGAGATTTTGTGACAAAGAGAGTATTCAAATCACACAACAAATTGAAGTGAGAACTACCTTGCAATGTCCTTGTTTGACAATCCGCAGTTAGCGGATTATATTAGCGGATTTGACCAACGAATTTATTTAATTATTAACATTGGGTAGAAAAAATGACCGCAAAATTATTAAATCAAATGAGTGGTTCAAATTGTTCAGGTTTTAATTTTTTTAAAAGTTTTTCTAATTCATCCTTAATTATATGATTATCCATTTAACTTTTTCGTTAAATACAGTTAATTCACTGTTAGTCTAATTCTAATATTAACGTCTAATATAGAATTATAATTACACCATTAAAGTCTTAATAGAACTTAACCACAGATCCTAATGTCGAAATCTCCTCAAACAATATTAGTATATATTTAATATTTTATGCCCTAATTTTATTTGTTCTCCCTTATGTCCCGTATTTGGTTTCAACCATAATTATACAATTATTTTATTGACAATTATAATCAATCTTGACTATATCATCTTGCATTTGTAAACTTAGAATTACCTATTTAACCCGCACGGGCTTAGCTCAATGGTTTAGTGGGCAGTATTTAGGAGAAGAGACCAAGGTTTGAACCTCGGCGGCGACAGTGCGGGAATTATGTCCAAAGTGGGCAGATTCCTTGTTCGCACCGGCATTTGGTCCTGTCTGCTGAACCATTGAGTCACCATGATTTACAACTTCCCACAATGCTCTGTCGGGTCGGAGTGTGGGGGGCCCTTGGGGTTGGGGACTCAACCTTTGGGAGAAGAATTACCTATTTAAATACGCAAATTCTTAATATACTTTAAAGTACTTATTTAAAAAAAAAACATTAGGCATTATCCCAATCGCGCAATGCGCGTAAAAAACTAGTATTTAGAGATAATAGTCAAATGAATTTTTTGTTAAGAATTAATATCCGATTTAATCTTCTAACTATCATTAATTTTTCATTGACTTTTAAAGTTACCAAAGTTAGTCTTTTTTTTTTTTGAAAGCACCAAAGTTAGTCCTAAGTATTCAATCATTTCAAATTGTAATCCATCATTAGCTTTTCTTGTGTGAAGTGTGAATAGATAACATTGAGGGTAAAATTCAAAAGTCATGACGATTGCGCTAATTGATTCTCACACGTAAAAAACAAAACCGTAATTTCCTTATTTTAGCCTCCCTAATTTCACTTAAGATGACATTCAATGCTTATTAGAGGATAATCTTCCCTGCAATTAGCCCAATTTCAATCTTATGTGGCAATTTCGGTACCATTTTTTATTTTATTTTATTTTAAAATACAACTTATTATTTCAATCGCAACTTTTACAAGAGATGCTCTGATGCCAAATTAAAACATCTCAACTAAAAGTTTAGTTGATAGTTGGATTGGACAGCACATTTATTTATACATTATATTATATATGTTGAACACCTTCAATTCTCAATTCTTTAATAACTAGACTTGAGAGTTTCTGACAAAGTTGGCATTGGCTTGTTCTCCAGATATGATTTGATCAGAGTCAAAGCATGTTGAGGCCTTGTTAATGGCACCTCATGCCCTGCTCCCAGTATACTCACAAGGCTCAACCCTTCATATATTTGGCTCCACCCACCAACCTATTACACACAACAAACCAAAAAAAAATAGTATAAATCCAATACAAAACGAATAAGAATGACATTAGAGTTACTCCCAAATCTGGATAACAGACTAACCTTTCCATTGTCATACCAAGGGTACCAGTTTTTCTTGGTTGGAAGCTTCAATGCGTTAATGGAACGCCGGGATGCAGTTAGTGGAACCACTGAATCGGTATCCCCACTGCAAAAACGGGGATAACGTCATTCTACTGACTCTATTACAATGCAGTATCTATTTATAACTATTTTCTAGCCTCCACTGAGGCTTATCCCCACTGCAAAAACGGGGATAACGTCATTCCACTGACTCTGTTACATTGTAGTATCTGCTCATAACTATTTTCTGGCCTCCACTGAGGCTTAAACCCACAACCTCCCATATGGGAGAGCAACTTGGTGACACTAGACCACAAGGTCCTTGGCCATTTAGTCGTGATTAGATAGTCAGTAAGTACAAAAAGCGGGCGAGGGTGCAGTGGTAAATACCTGAACACCCATATCCTGAGACCAGCATCGATGAGTTCTTGATAAATAGGCAGCATTGACACAGGAGCATCTCCCCAGTTGCCATTAACATCATAACTGCAAGGTGATTAGCTTAATCCAGTTAGCAGAGACATCACATAGGATAGGACTGGAAATTTTCATGTTCTGATAGATCTTCTAAATTACTCACTTGCATGTATCCCAAGGATAGGGGATTCCAGTCACATTGGCATGAAATGCCTTCTGCACTTCCGGTAGATTGAAGTAAACTTGTGCATAGTTGGCAGTGCATGGATCATATGCTCTGGACATCCATGGCTACCATTTCAAGAAAATCAGTGAATGTTAGATAATTTGATCATCTTCAAAAAGCATGGCTAGAAAACTTGCCTTTTTCTATTCACTATTTTCACCCACCAAAAAATTGGATACAAATTTAAGGTTTTCTCAAATTTTCAAAACCCAAAGTTTGCTTTTCCTGGCCCCTAGCCAACAAATGACCACAAACAGGTAAACCAGCCTGATTGCCCATAGTTGACCCGCTCAAACCAAGAATGTTAATAAGCCACCCCCACTGGAAGTAGAACATGGTGTGGTTATCAAGCCAATAGTCTGACCAACTTGGCTGGTATAGTCAAAATTTTCAATCACTTTCTATTGGTGATTGAAAATAGTGACAAAACATTTTCTAATCCAAAAAGTGACTTTATTTTACCGAAACAACGCGAGATTTCCAGCCATGAAAGTTTTAAGAGACAAGAATTACTCACATAGTGACCCCTTAGTTTGAACCGAGGAGATGAAGATGAAGAAGTTTTAGTGCAGACAGGAGTGTATATACTATAAGCATCAATATCTCCCTGCTCCTCTTCTGCAAGTGCCAGAGCTCCCTCACATTCAATCGGAGGATGTTCAGCTGAATACGGATCACAATATTTGTTTAGCACCTCGTATGTAGAATCTGAGATGAGGCCATGAGTCCACCAATACTCAAATGTGCCAATGTAGTCATGGTAATCGTCAATAACTGCATTCCCCACCTTAAAAGAACATCATGGTTAACAACATTAGTTGCAGACTGCTTAGACTGGATGAATGAAAGGTTGCAGGTGGGGGTTAATGAATAATGAATACCATACCATGAAGCCCTTGAAGTTAATGATGGGGTTCTCGATTCCTTTGTTTCTTTCGTACACGAGCTGAGATAACTGTGGAACATAATGCCCTGACAGGATTAACACACAATTGACTTTTAGTATAAAGTTCGGAGTGTATTTTACCCTTGATGGATTTAATTAATCCGGGGTAGACCCGAATTACTAAACTCGATAAATAAGGGATAAGAAAAGGCGTTGAATGTGTGTCGCGGGGACAACTTTGTATTGATAATGTTTGTAGAAGGGGTACAAGGTGAAGTGTAATAGTAAAACCAAGAAGTAGATGTCCTAACAAGACAATGAGATGTCTTCTTATACTAGATAATCCTCCCAACCGCCCCATGAGAATAGGGTGGGCAGTTGGATCCCGATTGACCGAGTCACGAGGCACGCTCAAGGCCCAGGACGGCCTACCCACGTGACGGTCCCAATGGGCTACTCCGTCTGGCCAAGGTCGACCTCAACCGGGGTCGACCTAGTCCGAGGCTGACACCGAGGCCAACCCCAACCGAGGCCGACGCCGAGGTCGACCCCAACCGAAGCCGACGCCGAGGTCGACCACAACCGAGGCCGACGCCAAGGCCGATCCTAACCGAGGCCGACGCCGAGGTCGACCCCAACCGAGGCCGACACCAAGGCCAACCCCAACCGAGGTCGACCCCAACTGAGGCCGACGCGGGATCTACCTCGACCCCAACTGGGGACGCCTAAGTTCCCTCTTATCGCACCGCGACCGCCTCGGGTCGGTTTGGCCTGAGTTTCTTCTCTTAATATATCCATCAACCCTTTTCCCTTCTACTATTCACTACACTTAGGGTTTATCACTAAAAAAGAAAGTGTAAATGTTTATTACCTGCATAACTTTCTCCCATGATGTAGAAATCTCTGTGGTTGTATTGAGGAAACCTCTCAAACCACTTGACAAGAAATGTGTATGCATCTTCAGCTACATAATTACAGTTCCAATTAAGTCAAGCAAATTAGAACTAACCCAATGATGGCAAGCAAATCTGAAGCATTTCATGCCCAAAACCACCCAACAAAAACCTCTATTTACCTGTTCTGTTGTCGCCTGCAGTTTTCAAATCCGAGGTTGTATTTGAGTAGGAGTAACCAACACCAGCCGGTGAATCAAGAAACAGCAAATTCGCCACTAACAACACACATATTACACAAATGTTAGAAACAACATAAATACCAGTTGAGCATATAATATATAAATGTCGAATTGACAGTTACCGTTATTCCAAGAATAAGGATTAAGGTAAAGAGTTTTGCCGTCAGGGTTGATGTGAAATGGGCCAATCTCTTCAGCAGCTCCATAGCCTACAGAGGAGCAGCCAGGCCCTCCATTCAGCCACAAAATGAGTGGCTTTTCCACGGGGTTTTGACTCGCCGGCGACTCAGTCAGCCAGTAAAACAGTGCCCTCCCGGCGGTCTCATTCACGGTCACGTAACCGGAGAACTGACTGAACTCGGCGTTGAGTGGCTGCCCGGGCAAATACGTTATCCTATCTCTCTCTTGATCTGAAGTTGTTTTGGAGGAATTACAACAACCCAGAACAAGAAATGCCCAGCATAGTACTGCCGGCAACAGTGACTGCAATGGCCGCCTCATTGAATATCTCTCTCTCTCCCTCTCTCTCCCTTTCTTTCTTTCTCAGACAACACCCTATCTCTTTTTCTTTCTCAGACAACACCGAAACAACAGAATTTAGACCCAGTTTTTTTTAGCGCACATGAAACACGAGCGAATATATAGCGTCTTTGTACATAAATCATTCGATCTCAATCAACGTTGTGGTCCTCCAATACTCGTGGCATAATTGATTTTGGAAAGAATAATGTATTTTGGAGTGTTTTGTAATAACTGATTGGGTTGATGAATTTGACTAGTTGATAACATTAGTTAATTAAAAAAATATATTTGATAAATTAGTTGATAGTTGATTACATATTCTTTTCTTCTTTTCTAAAGTATTTGATTATGAGTATGATATAGTTCCAAAAAATATACTCTGTATTTGGTTAAAAATTAACAAGTTTGTATTATAAATTTAATATATTGATTTTATCAACATGTAGTTAAGAGATTATATACTTGCAACTAATCTATAATATTACTAAAAATGAACACGTAACACATTTCATGTAAGATTTTCAAACTTCATTTATAGTTCATTTTTAATAGCATTTATGAGAATCACATCCTCTTACATTTTTAAATTACGTGAGATTCTCGAAAATATTATATTATTATAAAACATTCTTTAAACTAAAACACATCATAAATTAAATATTATACGGAGTAATAAATTAAATTATAAAGAGATTAAATCAAAATTAATTATCCATGTCTTGCAATTATTTTGCCACCAAGAGATTATTATATTATTAGCTATGGAAGAAGTGATCAACTGTGTCAAAAATAATTTTTATATTTAAATGATCATAAGTTTAATTCTTATTAACATCTTCTTAATTAAGCCTGTTTCATATAATTTTCTTTAATACAATTTAATTTTACACAATGAATAAATAAAGAGTAAATACCGGCGGAGGTCCTCTGACTTTGGTGATACTGTTAATTTTAGTCCTCAATTTTTAAATTAACAATTTTTAGTCCTCTTACTTTTTGTTTCTAGTCATTTATGGTCCTTTTGTTAAACTTGACCATCTAATGCTGTTTTCTAAAAGATAATTCAATCTTTTCATAATTAACTTATTAATTATTATGCTTAATTTCCACATCAGAATAGTCAAACAATAGTTTCCCCTACTATGAATGTGTACAAAACTAGTTCGTGAATCAAAATGGCGTACAAAAGCTGGTACGAAGGTTTTGCCAAAATAACTTCGGGATATCTCAGTAAGACTCAACAAACATAATAATTAATAAATTAATTATGAAATAATTGAATTATCCTTGAGAAAATGGGATTAGATGGTCAAGTTTAACAGAATGACCATAGATAGCTAGAAACAAAAAGTAAAAGGACTAAGAATGATTAATTTAAAAATTGAGAATTAAAAGTGACAGTACCCCAAAGTCAGAGAACCTTCGCTGGTATTTACTCATAAACAAATAAAGCACCCTTATGATATGACTTGGATCAGGACCAGTTCACTTGTCTATAAAAGTGGTCCTAGTTATTTAATAGGTGGTGGCAGACTTGCAGACGGCAAATTATATCGTCCACATCAAATTAAAAAATCGATATATTATCATGAATTTAATGCCCAGTTCTCTGAATAAATATTGACAAATTATATCATGGACAAGATCTATCTTGCATGAGTCGTTATATCATAGACCGTGGTGCATGTGCACCGCGATAAAAAAACGGCGTAGTTTCTTTAAGTAAAGAAACGGTCCGCCGTTATAATTAACGGAGTCCGCTTGTTTGGTGTATTAAACACCAATTGATACTACAGTATATCTAAACCGATACTGCAGTTATATCAAAATGATACTGTAGTTATAGTGAAATGAAACTGCAATGTATATAAAATGAAACTGAATAACATTTCACATATTTGAGTGTATATTGTAGAATGAAACTGTAATTATATCAAAATGATCATGTAGTTGTGTTTTAATGAAACTATAGTGTATATAAAATAAAATTAAATAACATTTTCACATATTTGAGTCTATAAATATCGAATGAAACTATAGTTTTATCGAAATAAAACTGTAGTTGTGTTGAACTGAAACTGCAGTGTGTACAAAATGACACTGAAGAACAGGGTTACTTTTTGCAAAAGGGTGCGAAACGGCGAAAAACAAACACGGTTTATTTTCACTTAAAAAAAAAAAAAGACGCACGGTGCATGATTAATCATGCACCGTGATGCATGATATAATTTGCCATCTTGCATTGTAAATTTCAATTTAAAAATAAATTTCAAATTTTGTACTTGCAATTTTCATCACCTGCAATAATAATTTCTATACATATAAATAAATTAAAAACACATAACATGATAATTATAGACACATAACATGATAATTACAGACACAAATTGTTAACTGCAAACACAAGATGTTAAGTTAACATCTTATGTGTTTGCAGTTAACAAATTCTGTAACTGTAGTTAATAGTTTGTGTCTGTAGTTATCATGTTATGTGTCAATGTGACGTGCCTTCAATTTATTTACAGGTACAAAAATTGTTAACTGCATGTACATAATGTGTTAACTGTAGGCACATAATTTTTTTAATCAAGATTCACAATGCAATATAAACTATGGTCCATGATATAACAATTGTTGATGGCAAATTATGCTGTGGAACCACATCCACCTTGTAAGGTGAATACGGTTCCAAAACTTTTCATAATTATGAATATATAGTTCAAAAATTATGAACATTTAGTTCTATAATTATGAACATAGAGTTGAGAACATAATTATGAACATATAGTTCTGTAATTATGGATATAGAGATTCAATAATTGTGAATATGAAGTTCAAAAATTATGAATATATAGCTTTATAATAATGAACATAGAGTTCATATGAATGTGAAGTTCAAAAATTATGAATATATAACTTTATAATTATGAACATATAGTTCAATAGTTATGAACATAGAATCGTGTCCAGTTCCACAGCATAACGATTGCTACTTGATAGATACTTGTTCTTGGACTGCATTTTGTGAAAGGAATGAAATTATAATGGTTAGAATGGTAGCAGGTCAGATTAGATTACCACTTCAAATGATGATTGTACATGTAAGATAACAAATCATTGATTTTTTATCACAAAATTAGTCTTATGTGAGATCGTCTAACGAGAAACACGGTTAACATTTTTAGTCTTCATCAATACAAAGATGTCAGCAGCAAGCCATTGAGATGGGTCATGCTGGATAATGAGAGGGTTGCTCCCTTCCCTGCAAAGGGAGTTCAAGAACTCTTTGGATCATCCTTAGAATGGTGGGAAGTCGGCCAAACGCTTATCTATGAAAGAATGGCGAGCATGGCAATGGCAACGAGAAAAAGAATACCTTCATTTTTAGCACTCTTGACTTGCCTTGAGGATAGATGGGAGCGGGGCGTTGATTGCTATTAGCTGCAGTTTCAAGAAAACAGAAGAGTTTTACTAGTTCACCTTTTAGCAGAAGTTTAATAGCCACTTTTAAATGCAATAGCAAGTCTCTAGTTGCAATACTGTTTGTTAATTGTTACCCCTCTGTGTGCAGTGAAGGACACTAACATATGCATGTAACAGTTGATCATGGCTCTCAACAAATCATGTTTCGATTTTTGACATACTTGCATGTGAACCAGATTGTTAAACTCACCTCGTCTGTGATAGGGTGAGGAAGAGCCAGCTTGTGTGCATGTAAGTTGTATCCACAGTCTCCGGGAACAGGATTCTCTGGTCTCCGGTACCCACTATGCACAAAAGCAAAGCAATTGACATTTGGCATCAAAAGCACCAAATGAGCGCATCCATACTAGTACTACAGAGTACAAACAGAATGGAACTACTAATTAATATATATATATATATATATATATATATATATATATATATATATATATATACATGTGGTCATGTTGTTAGGTGTGGTCATATGGTCAATTATAGGTCATTAGATTAGATAGATCCAATGAATCATATTAATCAAGATTCTTCCAGTATTTTTGCGCACATTCTCCTACCCAGCGAACTGCAAGGGTAAACTCGTCATAAAGCACCGAAATAGGGAAAATCACATTGTTGTATATTTTATTACACTATTGGTGCATGTTGTCAACACTAATAGTGTATTCTGGAACCCAACCGCTATAAATGGCCACTGTAATTACCATAACACGGGAATACACCATTGGTGTGTTCACTGTGGTGTATTTTATTACACTATTGGTGCATGTTGTCAACACTGTTGGTGTATTCTGGAACCCGCCCGCTATAAATGGCCACTGTAATTACCATAACACCCCCACTTACCAAAATGTGCGAAAATCCTCAAAATTACCACTGCCGTTAGATTAAACTGAATTCAACGACACAGATACGACCACACCGCCACACCTAATGACATGACCACATATGAGCGTTCTTCTATATATATATATATATATATATATATATATATATATATATATATATATATATATATATATATATATACTAGTAATTGTCCCGTGCGATGCACGAACTATTATTAATTTAACAAATTTATCAATTAAACTTTTTACATCCTATGAATTAGCAAAGAAAGTAATGGTTGTGGAAACAGAGAAACATACTTGAATTCTTGAGCTCAGAATTAGTTTGATTAAAAATGTAAGTATAACTATACAATGTAATATTTAATATTTTTAAAAGTTTAATTATGCTATTATTATGTTGATTTTAAAGTTCATTGTTACTTGTATTATTATTTGAATTTGAAAAAACTACTTTAATTATATAACTAACGTATTTAAATAAAACTTGTAAATAAAATAACAGGCGATATTTGTCGAAAATCTCCACCAAAAACTTATTTATTTGAAAAAGATTATTTATGTAAGAACTATATTTATTTTATATCTAATTTCTCCTCTTTATATATGTGGAGTCAAATTAATTATAATTGATGTTTAAATGAATATATACACAAATTATATTAAATATAAAACTTTACCAATAAATTTGAACATAATAAACTTTTTTCCATACTTCATTAAGCTTTAATATATATATATATATATATATATATATATATATATATATATATATATATATATATATATATATAGAGAGAGAGAGAGAGAGAGAGAGCTATAATAATAAAATATAATTTATAAAATATAAATACACATAATAACTTCAAAAAAATATGTATAAATACACCTACCCACACAATAAATGCATTCATACTTGCTAATCTTGTTTTTATCAAAATGCATTCACACTTTGGAGGGAAATTTTGTGGTTAGATTCTGCTTTATTATATATAATATAATATAATATATATATATATATAAAGAAGATAAAGATATATATATATATATATATATATATATATATATATATATCACACCTTCCAAATAATGATAAGATGATATGAAATGGATGAATGACTAGCTGGACGTTAGCTATAACTGGGACACATTTCCATGAGAATAAATAGCCAGGATGGGAAAAAAGAGTAGATAACATCTGCAATGTCTAGCATAAGTTATATTTTGTTTGATAAGTTAACATCCTTTTATCCTTTTTCATCAATATTAGAATCTTATAATTTATTGATTCTTGGACTTTGACACAAATACCTGTTTTTTCATTCCCCTACTTTAGAAACACACTGATCAACTACAATTTGACAAACTGCGTCTAGACATTTAGAACTGTGGTAAAGAAAGTAACACGAAATGCACTTTATAACGGGGTTCTGGGAATACTGAAATCAGAATGGAAGAAAACTAGAAAGAGAGAAAATCAGCATACCCATCTTGAGCAAAACTTTCATCAATGAGGTCGGGATCAAAGCACATTGGTTGTCCCCCATCAATGTAAAGAGGATCACCTGAAGCACCAAGAATCACATCCAGAAAATAAGCAATGAACTATACTAAGCTGCATTCAATTAAGCACAATATTAAGAACAAAAAATTCTATCACAGGAACAAAATCAAGATGTTGCAAGTTAGCAGATAGTAATTTATTAAGGTGCAATTTGCACATAACAAGGTAACGAGCCGATAGTACTGGCACCCAAATTAAAATAAGAGGGTCAAAAGTAGAGTTAAATATGAACCCCACATAAAACAGAATTGGAGTCCCAAAAGGAATGTTAGACAAACAATTAGGAGAAGGTGGTTTACCTATAAGTGGATGCCCAATGAAAGAAAGATGGATGCGAATTTGGTGTGGCCTGCCAGATTGAATTTCAACCTGTCAAAGAATACAAGAAAAAGGAAAAGAAATTACATATAAAGACGCCAACTGCTCCTATCTCCCTCCTGAAGTTCCATATCCAGTCAAAGAAATAACATAGCACTGCCTCAGTAAAAACTTTGTAATGTCCTTCTCATTAGGTATGCATTATTTGCTAATTCATATTAATAGCACAAATGTTAAGTATCTTTAAGAGCACAATCCCTTACATATGTATTTAAATTTTCACAGCTTTAAGCTATTTGGCCCTTTTGCATTTCTTTCCATTCATTTTGTATTTTCCTTTACTTTCCTCAGCACATTGTTCCAGTCAACCTAGATCAAATTCTCTTTTAAGATGACAAACATCCACTAAAAACCATCTGGCATGAATATATAGCCAAGGATCTTTATTAATTAAAATGGCTTCCGCAGCCATATGTACTTAATTTCCCATGTAATTTGGAGCACATATTAAGTGGAAAGGTCAAATAACATCGGATTCAAAACCATTTAGTATACTGATTGCATCAGCATTCCAAATTGTTATACTGAATTAACAACCCCTTCCAATAAAAAAAGCATCCTTTGATCCCTCTTTTGTGTGTGTGTTGAAACAGGATCCTAAAGATATCCATTGGGTATTTGAATGAAATACCTCTACCAATGTGCAATTTTTCTCCACCTGTCTCTCAAGAACACGAACATTACTCAAGGCCGGTTTCCCTGAAAAAGGAAATTGAATAGGAAAGCAGATCAACTTAAGGCACTATAGATTCTATAGAATAAAGAAAATGGTAAGGCTATATTGGAAACCTGAAGGAGAAGCAACATATAACCCTTTGGCAACTCCAGGATATCGGACCATCCCAATTGGTTGCTCGATTACAAGCTATGATGCAAAATAATTTTTAGTTTGCATGACTTCATCATGTAAAAAGGAAAATGAAGTGCTTAATAAAAAGAATGTTGAGGAATTGAGGCTGCAGACAAGCATATAGGGAGCATGCTGGGAAACAAGGGGGATAGAAGAATAGAAGGAAAAGAAAAACAGATCTGCAAAGAGAGAGAATATGATGTTGGAATAGCAGCATAGTGGGGAGGGAGGAAACAGTGCATTTATATACCTCATCCTCATTTATTACCCCACTTACAAGGGCCCGATATATCTTTATAATCTTTCTCACTCTCATTACTTCAAGATTGGAATATCTGTAGATATGAAGTTCAGGTATTCTATTATATGACAAATAATAATACTGTAAATTCACGCATATTCTGTTGCGTAGTGCAATGTACTGTACTATAAGTCTATAACCAAATAGAATGTTTGACTTGTACCTTTTTTCTTGAACAATCGAAGTTCCATCAGCAAAATATGCAGAAAGGCGAGATTTTGCAAGCTTTGTTTTTGCACAAAGTAATATCCCTACAATATCAAAGGACGAGAATTTCAACACTTTTTAAAATGATAATTTCCTAAATGATGCTGAACTCTAATATTTCACTCATGACATACCTGATGTACCCCGTCCTAAACGGTGAACTGGAACAGGATGCGATTCTCCAGAAGATGATAAAGAGGACAACTTGCTTGCACGCCATTGAAGTTGTGTCAAGACAGTCCGCTGCTGGAATAAACCTCCTGGTAGAACTTGCAAACCAGATGGCTTGTTCAGAGCAATCTGAAAACATCCAAGTAAATTCACATTTATCTGGCTCTGGAAAATAGTAGAGCAACTGAGCAAGTATAGCATAGAAATGAGAATCATAAACTCAAAACTGTATGTCACTACCATGGAAAATAAATTTATGAAAAAGAAGAAGAACTGAAGAAGAAACAACAATGCCAGTTAAAAATAATAATAATAATAAAAACAAAAACAACTAAAATTCAAGTGAATTTACCATATCATCATCTTCAAATAGAACTTCCAACACATAAGGTGCATTGGGCTCCTTCCAAGGAAGACGGTGATATACAAGTTGTGCACCAGGACTGCAGCAAATTTACAAACTTATTAGCAGGTATTTATTAATTTCCCTCCCACAACATATAGCCAAATGCATGATAATATATTTCACTCGATAACCTGAGGCTCGCATCTGGATTGCTAACAACTCTACCATCAATTGTTATCTGGAGAGATTGCAAAGCACACTCATCTCATTCAGTCACATTATAAACTCTCCACTTAAGCATTTCCTGGAGCCACTAACCTGTTTATTTTGAATTCTCTGCAACCAACTGCTGAAACTGTTAGTCTATGTATTTAAAAGGCACAACATACAAAAATTTTCTTTTTTTAAATGAAAGCTTGATAAAATTACCCCTGTAAGGGAGCTGAATTCTTGTACTTTCTGGAGTAGAACTCGATCAATGTAAGACCTATAAATTTGAATAATTAAAATAGTTTTGCATACATAATACAGGGGGAGAGGGAGGAGAGAGACCTGCATCAGAGGGGCGGACGAGGTCATGGTAAGTTAAACCGTCGTTGAATTCAGGCCACGGCTCCCCGAACGTTCGCCGTGTAGGCGTAGCTGCCGCCGTTGACGGCGCTGAATTCTCTGCTTTGCTCGACGACATCTTCTTCTACTGTGATTCCGACGGGGCAAATTTGATAATTTATTATTTTCACCGTTCTATAGTGAAAATAAATATTTTATAGATTTTACATTTTTTTATCTACCATTCTTTCTTTCAGTTTTGTCTTCCAACTATACTATTTTTTTCTTTTTTACTATTTAATTCTAAATTATTTTGTTTGTGTCACATTTTTCATATAACAAAATGATAATTTCCCAAACTCTATGTCTAATTTATCACTTTTACTTTAATAGAATCTATTAACCAAATATTGAATGAATTTTTTTAAATTTGACCAAAATTTAAAAAAAATGAAATAAAGGTCACGGATTTAATTACAATTCTTGCAAATCGAATTGTGAACTAAAAATGCAAGTTTAATTCTGATTAGCATTTTTTCAGTGGAACCATCTCACATAAATTGGTTGGAAGTATTTTTTTTTTTTTTTTTTGTGCTTAGGTCAAAGAAAGCTTCCATTTTTTGCCAATTTGATCCAAATCTCTTGACAATAATTCGTGTTTTCATGCTACATAGATTAGGATTTATGTGCTCTTGACAAAACTCCATGGTTAAGTTCAATGGCGGCATGAACAAAATTAGAAAATATGAATAAATAATTGCTTTACTGCATAAAATTGATCAGCCTCCATACAAGTATAACATTAGAAAAGCCAGTGAATGTAGTACAACATTGTACTGATACATCAGCATGGGTCAAAACAGTGGAGATTAATCCACTCTTTCTGCTACTGTGTGTTCAAGATTCAAGAGTGCATCAATGGAAGAATTCAGTGTGACCAGCAATATCCCTGCACCACAATTTAGCCTCCTTGGCTAACTTCAAGCTTCTAGCGATCGCGAGTCCCGTGGCATTGTGTGTTGAGGTTGGTATGTATGAATTGGCTTCCTCCTCCCTTCCTAACGAGAGGGCTTCCCTAGCAGGAACTACGTTCTTCCACCAAAACTCCCACAGAATCCCGTGCATCAGCTCCCAATAACTACGATCTCTACACACACGAAATATTGTGCTTCCGTTAGGTGTCCAACAATACAGATCTACCCAATCTCGGTTCATGATTTCCATTTGGCCTTGTACCTGAGGCATATAGTAAAACGGCATGTTTGACCATGGAAGCCCCTTTTCAGGCTTCCCTTTGTTGTAAGGGCACTTCACTTCCAGAATCCCTCCCTCTGGCAAGCATCCAATGAGTCCATCTGGGGATGCACCGACCCAATCAAATCTTTCATCAGAATGTATTGCAAATCCATATGAGCTCACATCACGGCCCGTGATGCTTTTGTACTGCCCTATTGCCACTTCTTCCATGAGAACACCCCAGTCCATAGCACATTTACTAGGAGATTCCACTAACTGAACATCTGGAGCAAATACTTTCTCATGCCAGAGCTCATATCGACGTTTTCCTTTCCAGAATCCCAAAGCAGTGCTAAAGGTGCTTGTAGTCAACTTGTCCTTGCGAAGGGCAAACCATTCTTCAGAGCGTTGCGGAGCATTTGATGGAGCTACACAGCCCGTCAAAACCAAGGATGAGCAAGGATGAATAAGAGGAGCACTTGGAGACAGATATGGTGATGCACATGTTGAAAAGAGCCTTACGAAAACCATTCTAGACTTTCTTCTGCGAGGAAGTGGAACAACAGCTTTATGAATGCCAGTAAATCTGGCAATGCAGGTGTTGGGCATCGTTGATACCTATGGACGTAGGTGATTGGTAGATCCTGCAAGCAAGATGGAAGTAAAAGTAGTCACGAGGGAGAGCACAGAAACAAAGAGCAAGTGGGAATACAATGCAAAAATGAAAATGCCAAATGGAATATGAAATGACATGTCAGAAAATCTTGCAATCCAAAACAAGCTTGTAGATTGGAATCTGCTATGCAATAGAGAAAATTCAATTTTTTTTCTGAAATACAATACTTATCATGTTATTCATTAAAAATGAGTTCAGAAGCTATTTACTTGCATCAAAGAATTAGAGACAAACCCTTAAATATAACAGATATTTACTCAAATTTTAAATAAAACATGTATCTCCTCGGGAAAGATATACATGATTCGAACTCCTCCATGTTTAAAACCATAATGGAAATACAAGTGTTAATGAACATAAACCACGGGATTACTGAGTTGGAGAAAACCAAGGGGATATAAACAAAAGTTGTAGCTATTTTAGCTAACAACAAACTTCTACTAAATAAGCTTTATCAACAATCTGAAACCAAAAGATTATTCTGATTTCTGATGTTAAGACATTGTTCATATTCAATACAACAATTTCATATTAATCTTCAGTCAATATGCAATGGAGTATCAAACAGAATAGGAACAACAGAGACTCAATATGTAATGTAGTAAGGAGTAGTAAACTGCATGAGCAAGCAGCAAAACAAAAACAAACAAACTTGAGGTATTATATTCAAGAACATGAGGTGTTTGTAAAAATGCCCCAGCTAGTAGAATTAGGGTTCCGTAAGCTCACCCAGCTGAAACGGAGCAAAACTTTACGGTTTTCTGAAATTGAAAGGCAAATTACGAACAATTGTACAAAAGGAGCCGGAAAAAGAGGTGCCGCCGTGACGGTTCTGAGCTCAGGCGAAACAGGGCAGCTCTGCTACAGCGTCGGATTGTTTTGTAAATCCAATTTTAATTGGCATTTATTTTTTTTATTGTTCATATGAAATGAAAAGGCTTTGGCCTTTGGGAAACGTACACGGATATGCTACCCTATTTACGAGTTGGAAAAATATTTATTAAAAGTCATTTATGCCCTTATATTTTTAGTGAAAGTATAATTTTATGAGAAATTTTAAAGGGTATATTTACTACTCACTGATTCAGTAGGCAATATTTGAGATAACAGACTAAAGTTTGAATCTTGGCAGCGTGGAGATTATGTCTAAAGTAGGCGCAAATTATGTTGTGCAACCGTGTGCACCATAATGTTATTGCTAGGAATCGAAACTGAATTTTTTTTTAAAATGGGACGCGCGTTTTTAGTCAAAACGACGTCGTTTTGCAACCGTGTGCACCATGCATGGACCATGGTGCACACGGTTGCACAGCATAACTATTGCAAAGTGGGTTCAACCTCCCAAATGCTCTATCAGTCTCGTTTTAAACCAAAACAATTTGGTCCTCTTAAATTTGGATTGGGATTAGGATTGAGTTCTTTGTGCGTAAAAGTGTACAATTTGACGTAAAGACGGTATTTGGGAAAACAGACCAAAATTCGAATCTTGGCAGCGTGGACCAAAACAATTTGGTCCTCTTAAATTTGGATTGGGATTAGGATTGAGTTCTTTGTGCATAAAAGTATACAATAACAATATGGTCCTCTTAAATTTGGATTTGGTTTAGGATTGAATTCTTTGTGCGTAAAAGTGTACAAAAACAATTTGGTCCTCTTAAATTTGAATTGGGATTAGGATTAAGTTCTTTGTGCATAAAAGTGTACAATTTGACGTAAGTTAATTGAGATGTCCAATTTGTACTTTTACGACCTAGATTCATGTGGAGAGGTAAATCGCGGATTGCATAATAGAAAAGAACCAAAACTGCAAAGAGATCATTTCACAATTGCTTGCACACTATATTATAACTTCATAGAATAAAAAGAGGGTCTGCAACATGAAAGAAGTCTCAAATCTCAACAATTCTGAATTCATCCTTATTTCTTAAATCATACTCCACCATTAACCTCTAAGATCTTACAACAAAATGCTCTTGCTCTCCCTTATTCCTTCATTCCCTGGATTTTTGTTGGATGAAAGAAGAAAAAAAGATACAAAAGAACAGACAATCAGGGGAAAACCAATCAATGCAAAGATCAATGGTGTGCATATTAGCTTAGAACGCGAGCCGGTGAAGAAGGTCCTGCAATCCGGTTCCAATCGCCCGCCTCACCACAATGCCCGACTCTAACGCCAACTGTTAGTTGATCGGGTTCGCGTATTGAAGTCTCAGAAAGAACCAATTTTGTAGCAGGAACTGGTCCTCGAGTGTCTCCATCTACGGAAGTTTCAGAAAGCGCCACATTTTTGGTAGCAATGGCTTTTAGGCGATACCGCTCTGCCCGGGACCCAATCACCTGTCCCAGGATCGAGGCTGCGATGGTGAACGCCATGGCTGTCTTAGGCATCAGGACCGACTTCCGGAGCATGCCTATGAATGGCACGGCTGCATGGACTGCGGTAAACCATGAAAGCGAGAATTTTTCCGTGTGCTCTCTCCATATTCCTAAGGGTATATTTGCGGCCATGCCCATGGCACCAATAACCAGTACCTTTGTGGACAGAGGTTGCGGCCTGAGGTTCTTCGCGAATGCAGTTTTCGATATTGCAGCCCTGGCGGCAACCACGGCGGCAGGACACTTCAGCTGCACGCCAGGAGGCGGCTGAATAGCCTTTGCCACTAGCGGAATGACTTTACTCACAGCACGGTATGACTTCGCAATAGGACAACTTCCGCTTTGCAACCATTCGTTGCTCAATGCCTCATGTTTTGAGTCTCCTCCCTGAAATATCAAGAATCGAGAGGAATGCTTGAGACGCCAGATACTAATTAATACTTCAAAATGCACCCGCATTCCATAGTTTAGGAATAACATTTTACCATTAAAACCAACCTACTTTTGTCCATTTTAACCCAAAACCTAACAGATCGACTAAAGTTGATATGGACACAAACGTCATGGGATGATAATTGAACAATTTCGGAGTCAATGACTAAATTGATAATGTCACTATAGTTTTTTGGTCAGACCACGAGGTGTCATGAGCAGGCCCTAACTGTAGGAGGCACCTTTAAGCCCGTACCATACTCAGACTAATCCCCGTTCACACCGGGCCGGGCCAATTAAGGGCCAAAATGCTGGCCAGATTGGTTTTTCCATACGAGAGGGTGTTGGAACTCCCGACCTCTCTTAAGGGACAAGAGTGCACGGTCACTCACGCCAACCAAGCTGGTTAATGTCACTATAGTTAAAGAACCAAAAGTGAACATTGATAAAATTTTACAGGTTAAGATGAAGAATGAGAACAAAAAATGACAGAAAAGTATCTGACATGTACCTTTGAAGAAGAATCCTTTTTGGATGACTTAGAGTTCTTCTTTTGATTATTCCACTTCTTAGAGAATGCATCAAAACCGAAAGGCCCCGCAAGTCCAAAACCGGAGAGACTTATGGTAGCAGCCTTTGCTGCCAAAGGGTTGAACTGGGTTGGTGCTGGTTCAGGCTCGATCTTCTCATTCTGAATGAATGATCTCCCAGAAAGCGGGACCACGCCATCCTGCCCGTGGAAAAGTCTGAACGCCATATCAAAATTGGGACCATCCTCAAAGATAGGACCTTTACTTTCACGTACCTAATAAGATACAAATAAAATGATGAGAATAAGTCCCAACACAGCATGGTGAAAAATAGGGAACCACGAAACACAATTCATAAACTGTAAAAATGGGAAGTTCGTTACTAAAACTGTTAAATAGATGTATAACTTACGGGCAATGGGAAAGCCATAGAGCTTGAGAAGGAAAAATTCGTAGGCTCATTGATGTTACGCAAAAATGGACACCTTATAATGTCTTGCTGAAACGGTGAAGAGTCATCATTTAAGTTCATAGAGAAAAAATCCATTCTTTACAAAGAAAGTTGACCTGCACAAAGGTGGAAAGTTATAAGTAACACAAACATCTATACGTAATGTCCTCAAACTAAAAAAGAAGAAGCCATATTTAAGTTCACAAATGAGCACAGTCATAAGAATCTAAAGAGCAGGCTGCTAAGCCATTTAAACATAACAAGGAGTTATAATTTGAGTTCCAGATATGTTAATAAACAAACACAAAAGTTTAATTTGCTCGATTGGATTGAAAGATCAAATATCAAATAAATACACAGTAAAACTGGGGTAAAGGAAAGATAAAGAAACATCAACTAAGAACAAATATAATCGAAAACATATTGTTTACCTGATAATCATAATCATATTGCTAAAAGCCTAAAAGAGAGAGCAACAAAATAAATAAATAAAAATACAAAACAACCCTTTCATCTAGAAATTCTTAATGCTTATACAGTATCATAGATCCAATAAGGAAACATGTATTTCATTGTCTCGCTACACATACTTTTTTAGATTAAGCTCCAGTAAATCAAATTAGTAATTGAAAGGAGATTAAAAACTTTAGTCCTCTTACAAAAATCTGAGAAATTATGTCAATAAAGCAAACAAAGGCAACAATCAAGCTGTTTCCTATTTCATATAAACAACTAAATCAATGGCAAAAACTTAAGTAGCTAGATCTAAAGCATGATTAACATGAAAAATCTCAAAGCACCATCACCTCAGCCAAAACTATTTTCTTTTGACTTTTTTTGCCAGAACTACTTTTGCACATTAAATCCTAAAACTAAAATAAATGCACACAAAAAACCAGATTAAGGTGAGGTGGGTACAACAGCACACACAAAGAGCATAACTTGTGATAACAGCAACTAAGATCAGAATTCAAGTCATTTTTTGACAGATTCTTTCCTCCTTACAGATCAAAGTTCACAACTTTCCACACAAAACACTCAATAATCATCAAAACTCAAAACAAACAAACAATAACAGCATACCCATTAGCTAAAATTGATGAAAATCAACACAAACCGAGTCAAAAGAAAAAGTGAAACAAATCGTAGCAGCAAAAAGTATAATCAAATTACTATACCTCAGTACAAGAACGAGGAGTATCGAGACCTAGAAGAACAAGGCCGATTGTTTGCCGGGAGAGGAGCAAGGAAGAAGACGCGGTTGGAGAGAGAAACAAATTGTTTGGAGAGGGAGAGTGAAATTTAAACGACGCCGTGGAGAGCACAAGCCTTATAGAGTAGTTGGCAGTTGGTACCCACGCCGGCCATCTTTGACAGAGAAGAAATGTTCGGTGGTGGAATTGGTATTAGATGGCGTGTGCCAATTAGTTGACTTTTATTTTGGTATTTTCTTTATTTTTTTTCTCATTTCATTTTATTGAGGGAAAATGGCACTTTTTCCCCTGTGTTATATGCTTATAGCACTTTTTCCCCCTGAGTTATTCATGCATTCATATTTGTCCCCTCAATTATTATAGAAGTGGCGGTTTTTCGCCCTGATAATATTAAATGGACATTTCTGCCCTTAAAACAAATATTTTATTTATTTCTCTTCTTCAACAAATTATTGCTTATACGTAGGGATGACCACGGTTCGGTTCGAACTGAACCAAACACTATAGCAATCAAATTAAAAAATTTCAGTTATGATTCATAACATAACCCAATATTTGGGTTTCCGTTTATTAAAATCGTGAACTGGAAAAAAATGGATCCTGAACCGTGAACCGGAGGTTCAAATCGGAACAACTACTAGCAATAGCTTAAATTAGAATTATAATATTTACAAATAGTGTATGTTTTTTTCTGCATTTATATTGACTCTCACATATAAGTATATATAATCGCGGTTTGAGTTTTATTTTGAACCGTCGGTTCACGATTTTGGATCCAATTTGAACGGTTGGTTCAAACTTTCTTTTAAAATTTTATTTTTTTATTTTTAAAATATTCTAAATTCAACACTTAATGTATTTTATTTTTTCAAATCGTGGTTATAATTTGTTGGAGAAGAAAAATAAATGAAATATTTATTTTAAGGGTAAATATGTCCATTTAATATATCAGGGAGAAAAACTGCCACTTAAATCATTTAGGGGGGAAAAGTGCTATAAGTATATAACAAAGGGGGAAAAAGTGTCATTTTCCCTTTTATTGATTATTATTCATTTATTCCTACTCCCCATAAGAAGTCAAGAAGATACAAAGTATGGATACAAAATATTAATTTTTAAAATTAATAATTGGGTGTACAATTTTAAGTCAAATTTTACAAGTATGAATGATATTATCCTAAATCAAATGTTTGAAATTTCATTAAATATTTAAAATTTTAATTAATATTTTTCTCTTTTTATTTATTAAAATAAAAAAACAAAAACAAAACAAAAAAACAAAAAACAAAAAACAAAATTGAGATGATACTTTTTTAACTTAACTAAAAAATAAAATTTAGGTCATCAGATCATAAGTAAAATTAGGTCTTCAAACATCAATTGTCTCCTTGTCATAGTGAAAAGGTATTTGGGAGGGTAATCAAAAATCTCGCTCCTCGCACATGCAAAAGTAACAATCGAGGCGAAACAAATATTTCTAAGGTATTAAGTAAAGTTTGTCATTCTAATTCTAATGAGTGAAAACCAATATTGTAGTTCCATTTAAAAACCTATTTAACTCCCATTGATTTAAGCACAATGTTAATTCATGTGCAACTATCAACACCATATTGTACAGCTAAACAAAGCTACATATTGCATATGTTCTCTACAATCATCCATATAGAGCGAGTCATGAGTGCACTATGTGGTATTGTTAATCGCATTTTAAATTTAAGTTATTTATGAAATGTCATTACATTTTCCTCTTTCATTGCTAAAAGCCGTTAGTTTTTTTTTTTTTTTTAGATCAACAACTTTAAATGATTTTTAGTTTTCTTATTATGAAGTAGTGTTTTCATATGATCAAAATTATACATATTTACAAGTCTATTTTGCAAAGAAAGAATACAAAAACTATTCAAATTTTGGCAACGACCCACAATAAATGAAACATACCAAATGTTTGAAGTAGTCTTTAAAGGTATATTTGAAAAGGGAAAAGAAATTACTAATTATAAATGACTTTTTTTTCCCACAATAAATTGTACTTGAAAAAATATTTTTAAAATGGTACATTTAGTGCACACATAATATTTTAGGATATTTTTGTGTGCGGAATTAATAATATTACTCCATAATTGAAAAATATGAATCTTCTCTTTTGTAAATGTAGGTAGAATATACCAAGTTTTACCCCCCAAAAAATATATTACCTAAGATGGCAATAATAAAAATAAAACTATTAAAATATTTGCTGCATATAATTTAGTAATAATGTATTAATTAGATAATGCATTGAATATATCATATTAAATTTATGTGGGCAGTTAAAGATGACACAATTTTATAAAAGAGTATGTATGTAAAATGATATTTTATACTTTTTTTTTTTAGTACAATGCGATTTTTTATTGTTACAATTTTTTTTTTTTTGAATGCTACTAGCTCTATTACATTGTAATATCTGTTCATATACTTTCTCAACCTACTGAAACACAACAAGCTAATAACGCCTCCACTGATGCTCAAACTTACAACCTTCCAAATGGAAATCCAACCCAGGTACCATTAGACCACATAGTCTTGGTGTTACAATTTATTTGTATCTATTAACTTTAATTAGTCAATTTATAAGTATCAAGTACTAACTAATGTCATGAGTGTTGAGTCCTTGATAGATCAACCATGTAGTTGTCTATTATTTGTTTTCTTTCCAATCTTCTAGAAGATATCAAGTGTTTGAAATTGTTTGATCACATATATTTACAATAAAGTAAATAAATATTAAATGACTATATACAAATTAATTGTATCTTGGTATCTATAGTTTCAACTCTTCCCTGTAAACATCACATATTTACTGCTGGCGGTTGAGATTGAGTTACAAAAACTTCTAGATAAGTATTTAATATAGAACAAATGAGACGGTGCCAACAGGTGACAACGAAAGTAAAACTTGCAATAACCAAATTAACTCATAAGCTTTATAATTGTATTCAAAACTAAAATGTTTATATATAAAGTCCGTTTAAATAGAAATCAAGGAAAATGGAAGAGTTGCAAATTTTACTCCGTACAAGCATACATGGGAAATATAAAACACAAATATTAATAATATTTAAAGCAAATTCTAATTATCAATAAATGTAGCCACAAAATTTAATGTCTCTTAAACTTCATGCATGTGATAACTTTTATAATATTGCATCAATTCATGTACCTAATCTCTTTATATTCCCCATCAATCGAATTGCTTTTTTTTTTTTTTTAATATAAGTGTGAGACATCTAAGTCATACAAGTGATATATTCATTGATAAAAAAAAATATGAATAATAACTGAATTGATGATAAAATAGAATCATAGATCACAAATAGTCAGAATAGAAAAAATAAATTTTTTGATTTAACTCATTGTCTTACCGGTAACAAAAAAAATAATATTGAAATTGACTCATAATGTTTATTTATTAAACAATGACACTTCAATTATTGTTGTTATCCCTAAATTTATGTACGCTGTCAATTGCTAATTTATTTTTTCACTTGTATTAAAAAATTTAATTGGACAATATAGTTTTTTTTTTTTTTTTTTTTTTTTTTCCCTGAATGGTCAAAAAAAGAAATATTTGGAAAATTGGGAGGATTGTGTCTCAAAATTCATGGACTTGTCCAATTCCCTCCGCTTTTCTTCACCACCGTCAGCCCGCCACTTACCTCTCTCTAACCCTGAAGAATAACAGTCCGTAGAAACACAGAATTTGGGGAAGATTGTCAGACTGCAGAGCTTGGGCGAACAGTTGAGAATAATTTCGTAAGCACGAAACCTCTCAAATTTCCGTTTTTTTTTTTCGTTATTTTTCCCAATAAAGTTACTATTTTTAATGTATAAACTGATTGCAATTATTTTCCCATAATCCTGGAGAAGATATGGTTATGTTTATGTAGGTGGTATGCGTTTATATACCCAGAAATATGAATCACTGGTATGTTAATATATGTATATGTACATGCTTCCTTTCAAATTGAGGCATGAGATAAATGCGAAAATCGTTTGCAGAATTAATATATAGGCTTAGGGGCTCATGGATTTTGTGAATTTAGAAGGTAATCCAGTAGTATTGCTCTTACAAAGGGAGAAATTTCACCTCGTTCCTTATATTTGGAGAGATTGGCAAAGGTTAATATTTACCACAATGAAATCTAGTGAATTTTGTGAAATATGTTGAATTGTAAAAGAGTAAAAGGAGTTGGGTAATATTTTGTTCTTATAGGGGCAGAGATTTGGTATTGTTTCTTCTATGATGAGTTTGGCAAACACTTGAGCATACTAATGGCTGAAGCTTACATTTTCTTTTGTTTCTTATTATTATTATTATTATTATTATTATGATTTATGAGTATAAATTAGCAATTAGTGATTATAGAGAAGTGATTGAATGAGCATGTTGTTTTGGTATTTGAGGTAACTTGTCAGAATCTAATTTTATTTTTTTTGTATCGGGATTTAGTAATTGGAACTAGAAAATCAATCTTCATCTGTCTCTGATCTTTTATCAATATTCGTCTGTCATTCTATTAGAACCTGGTGTTTGTTCAATGTATGAATTATTCAGAAATTTCTTGCTCTTTGATTTATTGAAAAGTCCACAGTCGCTACCCGAAAGAAATTTATTGTTTTGTTCATCCGCTACAAGTAAACCAGGCATTTTTGGCCCTAATATATTAATGTGTTGAATATTAGATCATATTTTGTAGTAATTATTTTTCAGGCTAGTTTCTTTCAAATATAGTTGGTATTGCGTGCATAATTCGTCTCTGTTACTGATCTGTAGGTTCTTGAAGATAAGGTTTCTATAGCTTTGTTATTAATTATATATACTACTTTTAGCAGGGTGGCCATCATCCAAATTGGTGCTAAGAATGGTTTCTGAATTGATTAATGCTAATCCCATTGTTTATGAGAAGAAGGAACGCCGAGCTGCTCGAAGTACACCGATTGTGGATGAATATGCAGTAGAACCAATCGACCAACAAGAAATATTTGATATCCTTTCCAAATGGTTTTATTCTATGCTAGTTACATCAGTAAATTTTTGAAATAATTTACTACTATTACTACTACTACAGATGATTATTATAAAACAAAATCGTTCTTTTAATGACCTCAAATAATGACAAGGCCTTATAAAGTCACTGATAATGAGAACGATTAAAATATTTATGCCTGTTACAAATTGTTGTTGTTAAATGTTTAGGTTGATACCATTCTTTTTCTTATGAACTAGAAAACATTCAGCGCTGATTAATCGGTAGATCTTTGAATGTTATTTTTAGATTTTCTCATGCAATTTTAATTTGTTTTCTTGCATTGTATTTAATTCTGAAGTTCAAGATCAAAACTCCTTAACATCCTTACATCATCTTAGAGACATAAAAGATCCAGAGCATCCTTATTCCTTAGAAGAGCTGAAAGTTATTACAGAAGATGCCATTGAAATAGATGACAAGCGAAACCATGTCACGTGAGGAACATGTGAACTGAAGTTCTTTCATTTCAAACCATTCTGGAATTTATATAATCTGCTGTCTAAATAATTATTCATTTCAGTGTCACATTCACCCCAACCGTTGAGCATTGCAGTATGGCAACCGTCATAGGCTTATGCCTGCGAGTTAAACTCATGCGCTGCCTGCCTTCTCGTTATAAAGTATGTTTCTGAAAACTCTTTATTGACTGCATCCTTGCACATCATAGTCCTTCAACCTCAAACATTTTTATATAAAGAGTAACTATGATGATTAGAGCCCTCTTCTGATTCATATAAAGGGTAACTATGATTATATTATTACAGTTGACTAAACAAGTTCATAAAACTACTGCATTGATCTTTGGCTTAACCCCAAGTGACTAGAGAATGGTGTTATAATGAACAAGTTGTGCAATTTGCTCCTCGTTCATTTTTTTTTTTTTTTTTTGAGTACTACTGAGTACTGACTCTGTTACAATGCAGTATCTGTTCATAACTACTTTCTTAACCTACTGAAGCACAGAGAGTCAATAACACCAAGCTCGAATCTTTAAAACTCAGTCCCCTCATCTGTGGAATTGTGCTGCATGCTGACTTTTCTTTACTTCTTTTTATTTTCAAAATGAAGGAATCTATAGACGACTGGCTGTGATCACTCGTAAAAGCTGTAATCTAAATGTCTATATGTTGTATTACCAGGTTGATATTAGAGTTGCACCAGGAAGTCACGCCACGGAAGCTGCAGGTCTATCCCTCTCTCCCTCTATGCGGGCTGTCTGTTTGTTTTTGTGCATCCAGTGTTACCAGTACTCCTAGCGTGACTTTAAACCTAGATTGATAAAGCTAAACTGTCTTGTTAAGGATATTTCCATCTGAAGCTAAGGTCTTTGCCGTTTTTCACCTGCAGTAAATAAACAATTGAATGACAAAGAACGAGTTGCTGCAGCTTTGGAAAATCCCAACCTCGTGGACATGGTTAACGAATGCCTCGCTCCATCTTATGAACCGTGAAGGGTAGGTTCTGTGCGATTATTCTCGAGCTCGCTTCCGGGGCTCCATAAAATTCCCTATACTTTCTGTAGCCTGCTGAGTTTTAGTGGATTATTGCTTGTTCTTCCTTTCCTTTATATGATGTTATACTTTTACACCACTCTTGATTCTTTCAGTTCATTAACTTAATAACTTCAGTAAATGTTGCCAGGATGTTATTAACTGAGCAAAGTGCCTGTTTTTGTTTATGTATTTATTTATTTATTTTTGTTCCAATATTCCAAAATAAATAATAATAGTAAATGAGGAATTTACAGAAGAAGAATCTCATCTTAACTTCAATTCAGGTTGAATGCCTTAATTTTTATTTATTTATTTATTATTATTATTTGGTGACGCGGAAAACGCTCACTACACACTACTCAATAATGTGCTGTGTGCACTAGGTAAATTCCGCTCAAGTAATAGCTTGTAAATCACATGGGAGTATAGGATTGATAATGCCTTCATTTTTTGTGCACTCACAATAGCTATTGTGATTGAGAGTTGGGAGATACTTTGTGGTATGGAGTGGGCTTGGAATAAAGGGTTTCGAAAAAGCGAAATTTGGAGTGACTCGCAGAAGTAGAATGGATTATGGGGGCTAGTATGCAATTGGGACCTGATGGAGAAAATTGACTCCGGGGTATGTAATTATACGGGTCAATAATCTCCATAAGAAAGGATGATTGCAGGGAATCAATAAATAAGAAATAAATAGGCATGATACAAGATATTTAACGTGGAAGCCAATACGGTGAAAACCACGAGCCTTTTTGGGTTAAGTCAAGCCGTAATCCACTAAGTTGTAGGTGTAGTACATGTACATAGGTAAGGCCATGGCCATAAAATATATGGAAGAAGAAAGAATATGTATGTAGCTAGAGGAGAGGTTTTATATTTGAGACTGGCGTCCCCCTTCGTCTGTAGCCCGGAGCTTTTATACAATATTATTTGTGCAGTTGTAACTTCCCGTAGTCTTCCCTTAATCTTTCCTACTTTCTTGCCATGATTTCTTCCTCCTTTGACTAGTATCATTATTATTATTTGTGCAGTTGTAACTTCCCGTAGTCTTCTCTTAATCTTTCCTACTTTCTTGTCATGACTACTTTCCTAAAACAATTGTCTGACTATTACACGTCCCGAACCTCTGTAATAGCGTTATACATCCAATTAATATAATATTTCTACTCCTATTGTCATTTTATCATTCGTTCTTTATATTCAATCATATATTCGGGTTGTATAATCCGGACCCCCGGTTCAAATAATCCATCAGGACCCATGCGAAATATCATTGAGAAATGCAAGAGTTGGATAGATCATGCGATGGACATTTCGTTGAAGCACGTTCACCACAAGCAAAATTAAGTAGCTAATATTTTGACCAACTTAGTAACAATTGAAGTAAAATGGTGAGAGCTCCCTCATGATCCGAGAGCCTTAAATGATGATTGTCTAGGGGTCTTGACTTCTAAAGAGATCAACATGAGATGCAATTAGCCTCTTTCTCTTAGGGTTTTTTTTTTCCTTCCACTGATTGAAATAAATTGTGAGTTGACTAAATTGATTGTTTCTAAATAACTACAAAATACATATGATTGAATTGAAAGTTGTATCTAATTTTAAAATATAAATTGAAAATATAATAAATCCACGTAAAAATATCCATTTCCCCTTATTTTATTGGCATATAATTAGCATGAGTTATTTTTTGGTAATATATATATTTTTTTAGTGTACATCCAAAGCTCAAACCTTAAACCTCCCACATAAAGAACCAACCGGATACCACAAGCCACTTGGTTCTCATGATTTCTTGTTAATGTTTAATCAAAACATTAACTATTTTTTGAATAAAACATTAACTATATAATCAAATACGGTGGTTAAATGTTGAATATTAAATTTGAAAGTGTAATTATAACTCATTAATACTGCGTACAAAAAAAATATTAATGCAAGTAGAACATAGTTATAACCTTAATATGGAGTCTTCTGTAGATTAAAAATACCAGTATTAAAGAGTAGAAACACTTGGAAAATTCAATTTTTTATAACTAATGTCGAGTTGACACTCCGAGCAAGTTTTCCTGCTTAATTTGTGGGTAGATTTGCATATAGTTTTATATATAGTCATAAGTCATAACTCAATAAATAGTAATACATCTTATTTTATTTGATATTTCAGCTTTTGGGTGTTTCCACACAATGATTAAGAAGTAGTTGCCCCCCTTGGTAGGGTTTCTTATTGTACAAAAATAATTTTGTAATCTATCTAAACACATTTTAAAAAGTGTTAACTTATCGTAAAATTATATCAAACACTTCATATAAATTGATAGAAATATTAGGTATGGACTCTAAATGGATGAACCACATTAGGCAAACAAAGAATGAAACAATTAATGTAATAGGTTTGTTGTGAGTATTGGACACTAGTCCTTTCATACAGTGAATCATTGAGTTCTAGTAATTTATATATATATATATATATATATATATATATATATATATATATTTTGATATTATTGACTCTATTATAATATAATATAGACCTACTGAAGTACAAAGAGTTAATACCAAATTTAAACATGAGACATCTAATTTGAAAGGCCATAGTTATGTCACTAGACCACGAGGCCTTTGTTGGTGAGGAGGAAGCAACCCAACACCACATTATTGCATGGATCATGGTCCACACAATTGTATAAACCATAAATAAAAAATACATTTTTAATATACTAAGGGTACATTATTTATGTACGTAAGATACATTTTTTAAAAGTACATTTTTAATATATTAAAGATACATTATTTTATATAATCTAACTTCGGTATAAAAATAATGTACCCCACAATACAAAAATAATGTACTTTTAATATATTAAAAATGTACTTAATATTCATGATCCACACAATAGTTTGCAACCTCATTTTCCTTGGGGCCGCATGCAGGTTAACATTACTCCGAGAGTATTAATAGCGGAGCAATAAATACAAACAAAAAGCTCTGTACTTTTATCACTCATGTTTTTTCTTTTTTATGTCAACTAAAGTACTTCCCCTCTCTCTCTCTCTCTCTCTCTCTACAATCCGTAATGCTGTGAAGTTTCTCCCTCTCTCTCTCTCTAGAAATCGCTTCAAACACTCGCATTGTATATATGCAAAACCCTAGGATCTCTCCGATCCTCTCCCCGCGATCGCCGTCGGAGCTCGGCCCCCAGCTTCCATGATCTGAGCTGATTTTCCGTCCGGCTCATTATTTGCTTCCGATTGGGGTTGTTGCTTAGGTTTGCGTTGGAGAAATGTATAAGAACCAGCTGCAGGAACTGGCGCAGAGGAGCTGCTTCAACCTGCCGTCGTATAGTTGCATCAGAGAAGGCCCGGATCACGGGCCCCGATTCAAGGCCACGGTGAACTTCAACGGCGAGACCTTCGAGAGCCCCCATTACTGCTCCACGCTTCGCCAGGCTGAGCACTCCGCAGCTGAGGTGGCGCTCAATGCTCTCGCCAACCGTGGACCTTCCAATTCTCTTGCCGCCAGAATTTTGGTGAGTCTTCGAGTTTAGCTGGCGATAAGCTGGGGCTGTTCTATTTCTCTCTTAGTTTGATTGTCGGTGCAGTATTTTCCCTCATGGTTTACATTCCTGTGCATGTTTCATTTTATTTCATCATTTAACTTGCTTATACTGAATTGGTAACTTGAATTCCAGAAGAGAATCACTTGCATTGTGATTTTGATTAAACTTTTACTGGTGAATATAAAAAACCCATTAGAACATTTGGAAAATAATCAAAATACTCTTACATCGTATTCAGTTTTATTGCCATTGACATGTCAATGATCATGAAATGACATTTAATCCACGGTGATTGAATTTCTAAACCATGGACAGTTTCCAAGGAAACCAATATCTAGTCATCTTTGGTCAGTTTGGTGTAAGAAGTGAGTGACTGGAAATTCTCCCGAGTTCACTTTCTCACTTATAAGACACTCGATGACTTGGGGTAGGGCTTGAATAAAAAGGGTCCTTCATCACATCCATCACCATGGCTTACTGCCTTCTCCATTGGCCTATTGATATTCCTCCTCTGTCTGCATTGAAATTCAAACGACATCCTCCATTTGAAATCAAATAGGATTATAGGAAACTACAACGGTGTCAATAATAACCTTGATACTAAGAAATATAAGTGACGAGAGAAGATAATCAAGATATATTGATCATTTGCAGGCTTTGTAAGACAGGTTGTTCTGCACAAGTGCATTTTATTTTGGTATTATTTGCAATCTGCTTGTCATCTTGTGTATGTTGTTTGTGATGTTTGCATGCAGTTACGTTTGATTCAAGATGTATTTTGGCTTGGGGAGAGCTACTGAATATTGTGTGTCTTACCTTTTTTGCACCTTAAAGTGGAATTACTAAAAGTCGTCTATAATCCTTATGGTTTAAATGTGTGACAAGTTATGAGGCAAATAAAAAAGGTAATAACACCGTCTACTTGTACAATAATGTTGGATATTGGATTCTTATATTATTGTAATGAGGGCTGCTTTTCTCCTAAATGTTCATTTCCCCTTTCCTTTATTGCAAGAAAAGTCTGTACTCTGTAGAGAGGAAGAGGAGCAGAGAGTGGGAAATGACAGCTCATGTTACACAGTAGGTAGTTCTACTCGTGTATCAGATTCTACAACTCACCAAAATATATGCTTCTTGCATATTAATATTTTTCACATATAGAATGATATCTTTAAGTTGTTATTGGCAACGTGAGAGGTACATCCCTGCATGATGAATTTCTTACGTGTCTATGCTCACTTAAGCATTTAAAGGGGCTAGAGTACTAATATGCTAACTATTGGGTGCTTGTTTGACACATATCTTATTGTGGCTTAGCTACTTCAATACACATAAGCTGGCCAAATGCTAAACAGAGAGAGAGAGAGTCTTTTTATTAAAGGTAGAGACAAAAAGCCTCTTTTCTAATAAGCTTCAAAGTTAGAACCTCTTACTGTGTTAAATAAGGACAATAGTGTTATTAACCTTTTAAATTGCAGCTTATGGTTTCCATGCAATGATTCTCTCTTGTACTCCACTCTTGGAATTGGTTATATACTTATATAATATTCTTTATGCTTTCTTACTAATTACATCAGTCCACAAAATTTACAGGATGAGACAGGAGTATACAAGAATCTCTTGCAAGAGGTTTCTCAAAGAGTAGGAGCATCATTGCCGGCATACACTACATTCAGATCAGGCCTAGGACATCTACCTGTCTTTACAGGTACTGTGGAATTGGCAGGTGTTATATTTAGTGGGGAGCCAGCTAAAAATAAAAAGCAAGCTGAAAAAAATGCAGCCATGGCAGCTTGGTCGTCCCTAAAATTATGTGAGTGATCCAAGTCCTTGAAACTTTATATTCTTTTTGATACAGTTTTACACTATTATAGCTAAAATAGGAATTATCAAATTCTCATATAGTTGTGCTAAGAGAATTGACTTTCTTGAGTTCCTTCTAATGAAGGTAAATATTTTCAAATTGATTTTTCTTTTGGATTTAATAATAATAGTAATTAATGGGAATGTTTTGGATAAATTATCTCCAAGTATCTGGTGGGAATTTGACTTCTACTGTGCAGTTGGAGCATTGCATTGCCCCAAATAGCATGCATTCAAGTGCTCTCCCAATACCCAAATAAAGCCCAAGTTATTAAAGTTGATCTTTACACATCAAGCATTGATCCAATAACTAATTAACTATGCATCCATATGCTCTCCCAAACGAAGCCTTAGTTATTAAAATTGATCTCTACACAGTAGGCATTGGTCCAATCAAGCATTGGATGGTATTTTGTACGTGGTTAACTGCTTAAGTTTCCTTAATAAATAATTTTTGGATCAACTATCTGAATCAGCACTGATATATATATATATATATATATATATATATATATATACACACACACACACACATTTATTTGTTTATTTTTATTATTATTATTTTTTGCTTTCTTCCCTGGTATACAGCTGGTTGCTCTTGATAATGTGATTCATCTATTATTCTTATACATTGCATGATATGCACCTTTTTGTCTACGCAGTGGCACAACAATCTGAGAGTTCAACACCAGATAAGGGGAGAAATGATGAGCAAGAGCATGTAACTGTAGCACGTGCTTTACAAAAATTTCTGATCAAGGCAAAGTTGGCTAGAGTACCGTTTCCTATAAATTTTTCCAGTCCTAATCCAAGACCATCAAGTACACATCAAATTACAACTACAACATCCAAAATACTTCCCCTGATATGCCCAAGAACGGCTAGTCGCAGTAGACCTGTCAGTCCAGTATGTTTAAGAACTACCGCTCAAAGTAGACACATGAATGCAGCATTAAATGAGGCATCCTTTAGTTCGAGGACGGCTCAACCTGAGATGTTTCCTGCAGCCAGTGCTGCACCTTACATTCCTGTTCGGCATTTTAGCCCCCACCACAGGATTGCACCTCCGGTGACAATACGGAATGCTATTCCTGTTTTTTCTGCACCACCAATTCCTCCACCTTCTCAGTCTCCAAGAGTAATAAGGCCGGCAACACTAGGGGTGGCGCCATCCGTCTCTATTAGGCATGTTGTGCCAGTTTATGCTGCTCCTCCTCCCCCTGTTCGAGCAGAGGAATTACCTGTAGTAGATCGACAACCTCAACAAAAGCAGCCCCCATCTTCTAAAGCTCCACCAGTTTGTAATGAAGCACTGAATCCTAAAGCACCAGAAATTCAAGTACATCACCAACCATCTAAACCGGCATCAGGCAGAGCAGATGAACCATCACTTTCAAGAACTTCACAGATCCAGCTCGAGGCACCACCTAGTCACCAAGTCTTACCAAAAAAGGTAGAGGAGCCAATTCTTTCTGAAACTCTGCCACCTCAAGTTGATTCGCAGCTTCCAAAGATTTCAACTGACCTGGAGCCAGCTCCTTGCCAGAGTAATGAACAGACTGCTGTAATGGACAAGCCCCAGGAGTCTCTGGAAATCGAGAATTTCAAACAGCTAAAGATCTGATGCCCGCCAGAGGAATGTCATGAGCTACAGGCACCTTCAATGGCCTTTCGTACTGGGTGCCATCATATGTGGCCTTATTGTAGTGCTTAACCTTTTCCTTTGTTTTTGTTCCATCAAATATTTTGCTTTCTAGTAGAGTTTCAGTAGCTATTTTCAAAAAGTGACGAAATGATTATGAAAGAGTGAATTTAGAAAAGTGCATATCTGGCTAGTAGGGAGGCTTCTATCTATACAGATGCTTAAGAAATACGTAGGTGTGATTTTTTATTTTTTGACCAGTTGAGGGTAGTGGCTTTCCTTTTTGTCGTATTTCATGGCTTTACAATCAGGTATTCAAATTGCATGGGCAGTGACTAGTAAGCTGTTTTTGTTAGTGATGCTTCGCTAAGTTGTACCTTGGAACCAGAGAGAGATTGGGAGATGAAGTTAGTTGTGAGATTGGATGGGAGTATTATTGAGTATATGAGGTTGGTTAGAAGGGGTAGGAAGAGTATATAATCATTGTAAAATGGCCCAAGCCCCAATATGAAAAAGTTGTAATAAAAATTTACCTCCCAATTTCCTCTCATCTCTTCTCCCTACTGTCTGCATTGTTCTGGAACTTATCCTTCGTTTCTTGGCTTAATCAAAGCAGAGTGTTACAAATTTAGAGGTGCAGTGGAAAAATGAATTATGTGAACTGTCCTTTTAGTCTTTTACTGATTGATATAATGGGTATGTGATTAATGGTGGGCTGAACTTTTTGGTTGATGTCATGTGTGTAGGAGCTGACCTATGGTTCAATCCCTCCAAGCCTTCAATTTGTGTTGGATAGGGGTTCAAACTCCTAAAACTGGTAAGAGGGAGTTGAAGAGTATACTAAAAAAAATGAAACTCTGAAGAGGGTACAGATTCCAGATAATGTTGATGGTCTACCCAAATGTCTAAAGAAATAAATCAGATACATTGATACAAATCGAGTGTTTGTCAAAGTTGCTGGAATAGCTCAGTTGGTTAGAGCGTGAGGCTGTTAACCACAAGGTCGGAGGTTCAAGCCCTCCTTCTAGCGGATTTCATTATTTTACAATCCTTTGGGGAAAATTATATGGTCCAGTATTTTACAACCCTTTGCGGTCCAGACCACGGTCTAAAACGACGTTATTGATTTTTATTAGTTAGAATAATGTATATTATGAATTAGAATAATGATACTTTTGAAGTAAGATAATGTACATTATTGCTCCTGTCTCATTTTATGTATTTAGTTCGATTAACGAGACTTGGTTGAACAGATACTATAATGTTATAGAGCCAGTAGCTTTCAAAAAAACGAGACTTGGTTGAAGTTATTTTTAATTCAAATTTTCATAATATTAAGTTTAGTATTAGTATACAAAATTTATATATTTAAAAACTACACTAAAAGTACTATTAAACACAAAAAATTAAATTTAAAAATGAGTAAATTATACTAAAGAAAATAAACAAAGAAGAAAGTGTTGATTTGACCAATGAATAGTAAGTAGAACAGATAAAATGGAACCGAATGAGTATGAGTTATAAAAATGTATTTTGCAGCGGGTCATATGAAAAAAGTTACGTAACGCAGCTGGTCCACACAATAACTGTTGTTAGTGGGGCAGAAAGTTTTATGACAATCATTATTGTGTGGGTCTTGGTCCACACAATTATGTGTACGATACTATCAAATAATGTACATTCAGTACACAAATAATGTACTTTTAGTATATTAAAAATGTACATTGTATTTAGAAAAATACATTATTTGAGTATTAAAAATATATTATTTTGTATAATGTACATTCAGTATACAAAAATATAATTTTAATATATTAAAAATATACTTTTTATTATGATTCACGTAACACTGTGTACACCATATTTCACACAATAATTTGCCGTTTTATGAATGGTGGACCTTAGGACACATACCAGTTGCAATTATAGCCCTATTAAATTCACTACCTAATTGCATATGTGGGCCATTTCAATTAAATTTTATTTTTCATATATCCGCCAATATCCACATATTTCAAGCGATGTGATTAATTCATTTAATTTTGATCGGATCCGTTTGGGACACATAAAATTGATCTCTACTATAATGTTTAGTTATTAAATCTTGATCCTCTCTACTCCACACATACATTTTTTTTTTAATACTATTGACTTATTCAACACATACATTTTCATTAGTTAATGTGGCAACGTTTTCCATAAGAAAAAAACTCACACTTCCAATAATGACATAATGTGCTTGATTACTTCTTTTTTTAGACTATAAGGAACACATGAATCATAATTTTTTATTTTTTTTTATAGACTAGTGATCTCTTGCACAGAGTTGACTTTGGTATCCAATTGAAAAATATATATTGTTTCAACTAAAAATTTAATAGTTAATTTCACTTTTGATCTTAAATTTATAGGTGTCAGTCCACTTTTAGTCATTTTTTATTAGAACATCCTCATTTGGTCCTAGTATATATTATTATGGTATGGTCATTTTTGGCCTTTCGTCAACAAAATCATTAAAATGTAGTTAAATACAAGATCATTTCAATCTTTTAATAAAAAGCAGGTTGACCCACTATATTTTTTATATCTATTTTTTTGAAAAAATTCATAATTAAAGACTAAAATATATTTGTATTTAACGAAATTTAAAATATTTTGTTGATAGAGAAATAAAAATAGTCATGTTACAATAATACTAGGACAAAAAATGAATGTTTTGTAAAAAAAAAAAAAAGGACTAAAAATAAACTGTCATCTATAAATCTAAGACCAAAAATGAAATTAACTCCAATATTAATAATTGAACTATTACTCCATAATTATATAGAGAAACACGAATTGCACAAAATGCTTATTTGTTGGTGTGCATATTTTCATTTTTTTTTTTTATGTGCATACAATTTTCTAAAATGTCATATTGACATGGTTTATGGACATATGATCTTAAATAATATATATATATATATATATATATATATATATATTTATTTATTTATTTATTTATTTATTTAAGATCATATGAGAACATGTGCCTAGGTGAGAACGTGAGAACACATCATGTGCATCCATCTAATATTTTTTAATGGTCTAGATTAGATTAAGTGTGTGCGAACGTGCATTAAATGTGTGCAAACGCGATTTAGTTTGTTTGCACACATTTAATGCGCGTTCGCACACACTTAATCTAATCTAGACCATTAAAAAATATTAGATGGATGCACATGATGTGTTCTCACATTCTCACCTAAACACATGTTCTCACTGGAACCCTACCCTATATATATATATATATATATATATATATATATATATATATATATATATATATATATATATACCTTCCTCATGAGTAAATGAGAATTGGAAAATGACCATAAGAAAGATAAGAAGTAAACTAATATAGGTTATCCATAGCTGACTTTCTTAACTCAAGATTTTCAATAGGTCGTTCTTATTGAGAATTGAACTTAAAACATTGTCGTTACCAAGTTAATAGCTCGATCAACTTGATTGGTTACTCCATCTCAATTCTACATATTATACTAATTAAATTTACACATTATTATGTCTTCTAGAATGCATATATATCGTGTTCGTATAATTTGAACGAATAAATATAAAGCATGCAAGTTGTATTTGCACCACATTAATTTGATACCTATTTATGCTAATAAAATTCACATTGTGCATGAATTTAGAAAAAGGAATGCGTCGTTTTGAAAGGGGTGGCCTAAATTCAATCGTTATATCGTGCACTAGGGTCCATAATGTATTGTGGATCCTGATCCAATACACAGAATTCAATTTCATAATACACGTACACATAAACACAATATAATGAACATGAATTATGTGCATTATATAGCTGAAGATATATAAACACTTAACATAATACACAAAATTAATGTTCATAATGCACAGAATACATGTTCATTATATCGTGTTTATGTATATATGTGTATTATAAACATGAATTATGTACATTATTAATATAAATTATGTGCATTATAAAATCAAATTTTATATATTGGATTAAGATCCTACACTTAGAACCCTAGTCCTCGATATATTTGCCCAATCATTATTGTGTGGACCATGCCCCACACAAGTTGTATGAACTATATTTTGTATACTGTAAAATAATGAACATTCAGTACAAAAATAATGTACATTATACTTAGGGGCATGGTTGCAGTAGGCGCTAGGCGCTAGTCGGGCGCCCGGACAACGCCTAGCGCCTAGGTGGAATCTAGGCGGGCGCCAAAAAAATAGTGGTAGACTTGCAGTTTGACAATTTTAATGAGGTTGTTTTCAACATTTAATCAAATAACACATCCAAATAAATGAATTAATGATAATTCATAAGTCATAACATCAAAACAATGGTTTTCAAAAAAAAAACATTAAAACAATATTAAAAATTAAAAATACTTAAATATGAAATACCCAAATACTTCAATCATCCAAAGATTCAAAGTATCAAACTAGTCTACGAGTGCATAAATGTCATATTATATATATGTATGCGCGCGCGCGCGCGCACACACACACACACACACACACACACACACACACACACATATATATATATATATATATATATATATATATATATAGAGAGAGAGAGAGAGAGAGAGAGAGAGAGGGGTGATCACATGTGGCCATGTTGTTAGGTGTGATCATATGGTCAATTATAGGCCATTAGATTAGATAGATCCAATGAATCATATTAATCAAGATTTTTCTAATATTTTCGCGCACATCCTCCTTCCTAGCGAACTGCAAGGGTAAACTCGTCATAAAACACCGAAATAGGGAAAATCACATTGTTGTGTGTTTTATTACACTATTGGTGCATGTTGTCAACACTGTTGGTGTATTCTGGAACCCGACCGCTATAAATGGCCACTGTAATTACCATAACACGGAAATACACCATTGATGTGTTTCACTGTGGTGTGTTTTATTACACTATTGGTGTATGTTGTCAACGCTGTTGGTGTATTCTGGAACCCGCCCGCTATAAATGACCACTGTAATTACCATAACACCCCCACTTACCAAAACGCGCGAAAATCCTCAGAATTACCACTGCCATTAGATTAAACTGATTCAACGACACAGATACAACCACACGACCACACCTAATGACATGACCACATATGAGCGTTTTTCTATATATATATATATATATATATATATATATATATATATATATATATATATATATATATATATATATAATAAA